TGGTGAATATGAAGGGGAAGTAAGAATGATTGGGAAATGATCGCTGTCATGTAAATCCAGGAGAACAGACCAGGTGAAGTCTAATGCGGCGGAGGAAGAGCAGACTGAGAGATCGATGCAAGAGAGAGTATGAGTCCGAGGATCAAAATGGGTGCGAGTACCTGTATTTAAAACATGGAGGGGGTGGGTAGCAAGAAAAGCCTCTAACTGAATGCCACGGGAATCACAGTGAGAACCTCCCAGAGGAAATGATGGGCATTAAAATCACCAAGTAACAGAAGTGGTGGCAGTAATGACGAAACAAGAAAGGCAATATCTGGGATAGATAATGCCCGAGAAGGAGAGAGATACAAAGAACAGAGTGTATATCACCTATGCAAGTGGATACGGGCTGCTGTGTAGTGCAGCTAAGTACGAACAAATAGCTGATGGTACGGAATATCAGTGCGTAGAAGAAGGGCACTTTCATTAAATGTCCCATCAGGAAAAGGATCTGAAGAATACAATAAATTATAGCCTGAGATAGGATAGATAACAGTAGAGTGTAATTTTGGTTCCTGTAAGCAAACACCAACAGGGGAAAACTGGGAGAGCAACATCTGAAGCTCACCCTGATTACCCGAGGCCGCGAATATTCCACTGTAAATAGGCCATGATTGGCAACGATAAAGATACCTGAAATCCTACAGACTAGAGGGGTTAGAAAAGTCCACATGCGGTGGCAAAGGAAAACGTTCAAGTAGCAAAGGAACGGTACGTTGTGAAGAAAGGAGTTGTGCAGATGGAGAAGAGGAAAGAGATGGAACAGAGGGTGGATCAGTGTCCAATGATGGTTTGGTCTCTGCAATATATTCAGAGATTGCTTCAAGTGTTTCGGAGTTCAGAGACGTCATATGGGAGACAACATTGGAGATGGAAGGAGGAGGAGTTTGAGTAAAGATCGGAGCTGTAATGGACTGTACCAAGGTAGGGGGGAGGGCAAAAGGGTGGAGGGAACTGGAGAAGTGTAGGAGGGGACAGAAGAGGCAGAAACCTGGGAGGTGGCAGAAGAGAAAGAAACTTGGGAGGGCACAGCGGAGGAAGGCACAGTACGAGGAGGATGATGAACCTCCACACTTGTAACAGAGCCAGTGAAAGGAAAAGACCCAGGTACAGAGACCAGGAAGGTAAAATGTGGAGGTGGATGAAGGGAAGGAGGGATTAAAGGAGATTTTTTGGGCCTCTGAGAAGTAGAGGGACGATTGGGAGGAGGTGTCGTACGAGGTCTTGTCGATACCGGGGTTTGTGAGGGAGGACACGAAGAAGTAGGGACGTCTGAGCCCAGGACAGCAAAAGAATTAGATACAGGAGTGACTATGGGACTGGCAACCGCAGAGGAGGCTGCAGAAGATGTGACCCCAGAAGTCAGGGGACGCTTTGAAACACGAGAATAAGAAACACGGGGCAGTCTCCCTTGGAGGCGGAGACGAGAAACCACCATAGCATAAGGGAGACCTTCTGCCTCTTTGAGGCAATGAATTTCCCGCTCATTTAAGTAGACTTGGCAACGGTGAGAGTACGAAGGGTGAGCCTCATGACAATTAAGGCAAGAGCGAGTTCGACTGCAAGACATATTAGAATGATCATCGGCACCACAGACTGGGCATTCGGCTATAGATCTGCAATATTTTGCTGGGTGGCCAAATCGCCAGTAATTCCTACACTGTTGCGGTGTAGGGATCACCTTCTGAACTTGTAACCGATATCCTGCTACATAAACAAGAGGATGGGAGTTCACGGTTGTCAAAAGTTAAACGAGCTTCCTGCCCGCGGGCAGGAAGAACGTAAGTGTCTACCTTGAGAATTGGGAGATCTTGGAGTTCCAGCTGTTCGAGAATGTCAGTGCCATATGTCTGGAAATTCTGTTGGACTCTGGTATGGGGCAGAATAACAGTACCACTACAAGAATTGAGGGAATGATGTTTTTCGATAGTGATAGGAATAGTATCGATATGTGAAAGAAGAGAAAGATCATGAGCTTGGGTAGAATTCTGGACTGTGATGATGCACGTACCACTCTTAAGTGCATGAAAGGAAATATCTCTACCAACGTGGCGTAGGAGTGCTTTGCCAATACTATGGTCGGAAAGATAGGCAGTAGAAGAAGTCGATCTTAATGTAAAGAATTTAGTCCATTGTGTGGTCTGAAACCGAGTGTGGAGAGGGAGTGCATGACGTGTCGGTCTTTTCCGAGTAGAAAGGGAAGGTAATGAAGTAACATCATTAGGAGATTGTCACTGACGTTTAGAAGTGGGACCAGAGTCGGTCCGACGTGGGACGGGCTGGCGATTCGAAAATCGCTGCACCATAGAGGGAGAAGCCGGAAGCATAGTCAAAGGAGAGCGGAGGCCAGACAAATCGAAGAAGTCAGTGGAAGCCCCGGTACCTGAAGCGGGTGAGGAAACCGCACCAGCAAGAGGTACAGGGGCCTTAGGAATGTCCAAAGAGTGGCCAAAAGATGAGGCGAGGTCAGAACGGGGTGTGGTAACAATAAGGGGCCCAGGGGTAGCGGGGTCATGGATTGGGTACTTCATGGTTAGGTTACTTTTCTTTTTGTTTTTAAGAAAAAAAAAAGAAAGAAGAAAAAAAAAGAAGAAAAAAAAAGGGGGGACCGGGGAGGGATAGTTCCTAGGAGAAATGAAAGGGCAAGAAATCTCCCTCTGCGCCCAAGAGGACCTCAGCACCGCAAGTAGCGCAGATGCAGCATGGAAACCGTGCCATACCCTACCCATCATGCCAGTAAACCAGCAATCCAGGATAGCAACCTCACATCTGCCAAGCTACCTCGGTGGACAAAAGAGAGGGTGGCCGGATATCCGCCACAAAGCATACCTCCTTCGGCCACCACCCCCGAAATCCGAAAGGTGGCTTCCAGAGATGAGCCCGTTGCCCGAAAGACACCCAAAGCCACCCTCCGGGATACCGGAGAGGGATCGGGACATCCCCAGGCAATCCAGATTCCATGGCAAACTACGCCACCGCCAAGAACATCAACGGAATGGGATGGACCCCGGTACCCTTTCCCCTACCTAGGAACTAGCGCGCCTGTGGGAAAAAATCCCAAAGGCCAAAAAGGAAGGGCAAAAGAGAGGGGTGGAGAGGAGGAGGAAAGGAAAAAGGGGAGGATGGGAGAGGGAAGAGGGGATTGGGGGGTTAATTAGGTTTGGTCTGAGGAAGGAGACTGACAGGTCTAATTCCTCAGACCAAGAGCCTCTTCACCATGCCAAGGAGCCCCCCTTGAAGAGGAGCTTTTATATAATTCTTGCATTGTTCAGTCCTCCATTCCAGCAGTTGGTTCCCAGAATGCTCTATCCTTTCATCACATTCATAAACTGCCCCATCCTTGCTATGCACTAACCTCACTCACTGCCTCAGCCTTGCTATGCACTCACCTCACTCACTGCCCCATCCTTTTTATGTACTCTCATTCACTGGTCCATCACCGCACTACACACCTGTGCATTACCCCATCCTTGCAATTCTCACATCACTCTGCACTGCTCCATCATTCAGGTATGTTTGACACTCACTGAACACACTTTCACAGTACACCCACTACCTCATGAAACTCATTAAATAAATACAGTAACTCAATCACAAAAATACTTTCCAAATCATTATCTTTGTCATGTTCTAATTTTCAATTATTAAAGTATTGTCACTGTATAATGCATGGAGAATACCCATTTTTTCAGTCGAGGGTTTTTTTTTTTCCTTCAACAATTTCCTAAACACGAAAAACAGGGAAAACACTGAGTACAGGTTCACATCCCTTTATCCAAAAATTTGAAATTCGAAAAGTTCCGAAAACCAAAGTTTCTTCACGGAGTGTGGAGCGTCAGTCATCTCTGTGCTGGGTCACGCTGCCACGTGGCGGCGTTGAGAATCATTTTGAAATTTGAAACAGTACAGGCCCCAAGGGTTTCGGATAAAGGGATGTGCACCTGTACCTATGTTAGACCAGGTTCTACTAGCACGAACAGCCTAACCGATCAGGCCACCAACAGGGATACCCAGTCAGAAACTAGGCCATGGGGCCAATGACCCCCAGAATTAGCAACAGTTAAGCCTTCATCAACTTCTTGGTGATATACACAGCTTTCTCAAACTTTTCACAGATCAACATCCTGCTATGCGTCTTTCCAGCTATACAGAGGATAGCTCTTCATTCTTGTAATACAAGCCTATTATCTTTTTCGCGTATGGGTACAATTGGTGGCTGCGTTCACAATTCAGGTATTCTGCAACTCCTCGAGAGATGTCGTAGACAGTGCAAAATGCACTACCGGCCGTAATCATGCGACACTAAATTTTGAAGTATGTAGTAGTGTGCTGAAGTGTTCCACCACGAAGACAAAGTGTCACATTCGCATGCTTCGATTACAAACTGAGCTTAATTATCAATGCCCAATTTTGTTCATACATACTCTAAATGTTCTTATACACAGCTTCATCTATATTTCATAGCTTTTAAATAATATTTGGCTCAGCAACACAACTCGTGAAAATTTCCCAAAAGGACATAATGACAATTTTAATTGAAGGATACAACACAACTGTTCCCTAAAAAATGAAATATGACAAATTAATGAAAGAACACATCCAAGAAATCCAGTAACCGTTTATAAAACGAATCTATAAAGGATGGGTTTTATTTCAATAAGCTATTTTTACAAATAAATATGATTAATATAGAACATTTAACCTTAACATTTCTGCACATGTAAAGCTGTATATATTTTTAAATCTTAATAACACTAACACGTAAATAATATTAAAATATACAATATAACAATCTATAAATGCACAGTTTACACTTGGAAAAGACTTCCAGCAGAAGACAGAGAACTTGTCGTGAGGGACAAGCTTCGCAGAAAGCGAACAATCTTGCTTGACATATGCGAGCCTGGCGTGTGCTTGCCTGCTCACGTCCTCCCACTCCAACCTACCCCTATACTCACCAGGTTTATTGTATAATGCAGGGTTAGGTCTATTTGCCTCGTAATGGTCACTATCGTCCGAGTCAGAGAGTGTCTCTTCGTGCGAGCGCTTCCTCCTGGGCGGAGATTCGGCCCTCTCGGGACTCTCATCCCGCTGCTTGTAGGTCCGCTGCTTGTTCCTCCTGTTGCTCTTGAATGTTGTTGTGTGTTCTGTGGTGTCAGGTGTAGGAACCTCCAGAGGTTTCTTTATCTGGCCAACATCTGGCTTGGGTGATGACGATGACATGGGAGATTCTTTCTCTTTTTTCTCTTTGTCTTTTGCCCGATGGATTGACCGAGTAGATCTCGTCTCCGACTTGACCGGCTTCACTTCCTTCTCTTTTTTAACTTTCGACGGTGATTCCTTTAATTTCTTTTTTTGTTCTTTTATTCTCTCCTTCTCTTTCTCTTTTTCTTTCTCCTTATCTTTTTCTTTTTCTCTCTCTTTTTCTTTCTTTTCCTTGCTTTCTCTCACTTTCTCAATTTCTCTCTTCTCTTTGTCCTCTCTCTCTTTCTCAATCTCTCTCTCCTTCACTCTCTCCTTTTCTCTCTCTTTTTCCTTCTCTTTCTTCTCCCTCTCTTTTTCCCGTTCCTTTTCCCTCTTCTCCTTTTCCTCTTCATCCTTCTTCACTGGTTCACTGTTCGCCACTCGAGGATCACGCGAGGACAGAACGGGCACTTCACTCGACTTTGCAGTTTTTGTACTATTCAAGGAAAGAGCCGAAATCAACCGTGGATCCCGTGAATTTTCAATATTCAATCTGGGGTCTCGCGAACCATCCAGTGCAATCCTTGGATCGCGGTTATTTTCAACAATTAACCTGGGATCTCGCGTTGTATCACCAACTCGTCTAGGATCCTGTGTTGCTACTGGGTTAGACGCAGCAACCACAGGAAGCACTTGGTGGACACGCCGTGGGTCCACATGGATGGTTGAACTCACCTGTGGGGTATAAATACTTGTGGTAAATTGAACAAACCGTAATACAAATTTGAACAACTATTTAAGGGTTGTAATATTTGATCCATTCAAATTCATTTACCTGATTATTTCTTTAGCACTGCTTATCTGTATCTATATGATAATTTAGCTTTCATGATTCAACAGAAATTATTTTACCAAAATTTGACAAAAACAAATCTTTTAAAAACAAAACAATTAAATATTTCACTAGAAGAACAAGTAAGAAAAGTATAACAGATTACAGTTAATTATTCAACAGTATAGAAAACTGCAACCATACATTTTATACCAATTATATGAACAACGTAAAGAAGTCTGTTTGGTGTAGTAATCATAAAGCCTAACTTTAACAAAGAATCAAATTAATGTAAATTACTAGAATAACAAAGTTTACCATTAAATTATAGAGATAAAATTAACTGGCACTTAACTAGTTATAGAAGTGGAAGAAAAGTGATGTATAGTTTTTAAAATGTGCAAATTTGCTCATCAAGAACATCTACAAATTCTAACTCGTGATACAGAGCATTTTCATTTGAGAGTAAACACAAGCACCTCAACAAAAGCAACTGAAAAACTAAAAGACCCAGAAGGATCCAGTGGGGATCAGTGTTGTTTAAAATACTGAAGTTCTGTTAGACATTCAGAAAGTACAAGTCAAGTTTCTGGTGATGCTACATACACATGATGCTAATCTAGTAACCACAATATTATTTACACTTAATACTTAGGTTACAAACAAATGCAAGCTATAATACAAGCAGTACACCTCTACCACCTTAACTTAAATACAGGATGCCCCACATAAACAGCACTTCTTTTCAGTGTTCCATATTTTCGTTGACTTTCAACTGAGTGATTGTTCCATCTGCTAGTGACAATCACCAGTGCCTGGAACATAATGAACTGTGGCTCAATTTGAAGACAATGAAAACGTAGAACACTGGAAAGAATGTGCTGTATGTAATGGATAAATGTGTTACCAAAGAAAACATTAGTCATGGTATACTGCAACAAATATGATTAAAACTCATTACACTCCTTAGATAAATTGTTTGACTTAATCATATAAAAATTTTTATTAAGTATAAAAAGGAAATTACGTGGCATATTTTACAGAATTTGTTTTCGTTAACACTTTCTGGTTTACGGTACCACACTTAACGAAGCCTTTTGACACATGGTAACTCACTTTTCATATCAACGCTAACTACAGATATTAACTGAAGACAAATGTATAAATGTGAAATGCCCGCCATACATTACAAAAAGAACTGGACGGTGGATGAATCATGGTGAAATAAAAATCAAAGGGAAAAGCAGCAGCAGCAAAGAAACAAGAAAGAGGGAGATAAGGAAACCAATGGGGAATAATCAGGACACATGAAGTACAGGGATAAGCAGAAAAGGCCAGGAACAGGCAAAATAAAATGACAAAACAAAGGAATCTCTTAACTTGTAGCTAAGGTAGAGGACCTGACGTTTACCTTAAGAGGGTTTCAGGGATCAACACCCACATGACCCAGTCTCAGACCATGCTTGTTAGTAGATGGCTTGATCAAACAGGCTGTTGGTGCTAGTGGCACACACGTGCACCACAGCCCAATTGATCCGAAACTGACTTTGAACTCGTCACGTTTCCTCTTTAATGGAGTAGGGAGGGTTTTGACAATTCTTGCTTTCTTTACATTTACTTCATCCTTCAATGCACCCCTTCTTTTCACTGGAAATATTTTGGTAAGCTTCTTACAGATTTAGGACCAATTCCTCTAGAATCATCCAGGCATATATTATGATGCATCTTTCTTGCCTACTTTCCAATGAATACAGTTCAAGAAAGTTCAAACACTGCCAATAATTTAAGTGGTTGAGTTAATATACACGAGCAGTAAAAATTCCCTCTATGTTTTCCAGACCTATAATTTCACCTGCCCTAAAATGGGAAGTGTAAGAACAGAAGTATTCAAGTCTAGAAAGAATAAATGATTATCATCATTAACTCTTGTACTGAAGGTTCTAGTTATCCAGCCAATCATTTTCCTTGCAGTTGTATTGACACTGTTGTTATCCATAAAAGCAAGATCTTCTGACACTCTCTCAGGTCCCTCGAGTTAGACTTTCACTCTGTTGTGTAAACTTATATATGTACTCCATTGCAATTTTTGTGTCCTCAATTATTCCATAACTGTTACTGGAATTTATCGTCACTGAAACTTAGTTTTCTGTGGCCCACTGAAGCCTTGGTTTATATCAGCTTGGGGATTTGAAAAAAATATTTATTTTCTTAGATTGAAATTGTGCATTCTTATGATCTGAATACGACTAAAATGAGTGGAATCTAAGAAAAACTGGCATAAACATGCCAGTGATATTTACATTTTACAATTTACTAATGTCAAATTAAGTTTGCTATAATATTTAACACTATGTACACTGGCTTATATTAGATGGGTTTCAAGGCACTTTAGTACTTCAAGCACGAGAAAATGTATAGCCTGATATTGCTCTACATACAATATATGCACAGTATAAATTCAAGCAAACCATTTTTTTTATCACTTTGGTCTTCAAACAATATGTACAAGGAATAGTTATGAGATGTAATACTGCTCAGAATGTGGAAGTATGTGAGTATTAGTGTGCTTATTGACTCATTTCCATTGTATCATGAAACTGTAATATATTTAGAATGAATAAGGCATCTTGCTGGCAGTTCCCTTCATTGTTTGCTGGTAGGGAAGCTGGTGGTGGAACAACAGCTCTTGGATTCACGGTTTACTTATGGTGTCTTCAAGAGGGAGCTTGGACAGGTACCTAAAATCAGTACCTCCCCAAAAGGGCTGGTCAGGTCCTGACCAGGTCATGGGACGGGCCATGAGGGGTGTTGGTCCCTGAAATGACCTCCAGGTATACTCCCAATACATTAGTAAGGCAGTGTCACCCTATGATCCACTGCATGAACCCGCCTGGCCTTAGATTTTTTCGAAGGCATGAGGAGGTTGTAGGAGACCCAAACAGTTGAGCTGAAGTCATAAATATTAGCAGGTGTTGTGTCTGAGGGCACAAAAAATTGATACTAGCATGCTGAACACAATCATCTGTGTACTAGCCCAATAAAAAGTTAAATTAATTTCTAATCAGTTTATGCTAGCTTACAACTTGCAAGTACCAACCATACGGGTAACACACGTAGCCATAGAGGAGATAATCCCCAAAACTCTCACCAATTATACAAAAATAATAAATGACTTCAGCAGAACTTATGTATTGCACTCTTGTTCCAACTTTCAAACGACCTTCGCTGAAAGGTTGGCTATGAACTGTACCATATTTTGAATTGTCTATTTTTTTTAAAGGGGTTCAGGGAAACTAGTTAGCACTCTGAAGGAGCAGTGTAGATATATGCAGTTTTTTAACTGTAGTATTGTCATGCCTTTGCCAAGACAGCGATGAAGTGAGTAATGATGTAAGTGTTTCTTCTTTTACGGGTCACCCTGTCTCGGTGGGAAATGGTCAATAGAGACCCAAACTTATCTAAGATTTACATAGTGTGTTGATTTTGTGATTGCATATGTATCACATCATCCTATGAAATAAGAATGAAAGGAGAGAAGGAATGTTATTAGTATACATGTGAAAAAGACGCTTAAGACAGTAAGACACAAGAAACAGATGACAACTATTACCCAACAAATTGTGATTCTGTTGGTAATGAACCCTCTAACTGTCCAAACATAGATCTACGTTTGCGCACGTAGAGCTCCGCCCTTGATTTTCTACATAATAATGTCAAAACAAAAAAAAAAACGTAGATCTATGTTCGGAGCGCTATGCGAGCAAACGTAGATCTATGTTTGGACAGTTTAAGGGTTGATACTAACCATTCTGTTATACTATCCAGTACTACAACACCAACAATTCTACTGTACTACTCAGTACTACAATACCAACAATTCTACTGTACTACTCAGTACTACAATACCAACAATTCTACTGTACTACTCAGTACTACAACACCAACAATTCTACTGTACTACTCAGTACTACAACACCAACAATTCTACTGTACTACTCAGTACTACAACACCAACAATTCTACTGTACTACCCAGTACTACAACACCAACAATTTTACTGTACTATTCAGTACTACAACACCAACAATTCTACTGTACTACCCAGTACTACAACACCACCAACTCTACTGTACTACCCAGTACTAAAATAATTCTATTTAGTACTATACAATAATACTGTAACTATATAATTAATACCCAGTGCTACAATTAATACCAACAAATCTACTGTACCACCTAGTGTATGTACTCCATTATTAATACCAGAAATTCTACTACAATGTTTTCTTTGCTTTCCACATTATCATAGACACATTCCTGCCATGCAACAGCATTTTAATACACCACATATTTGCAGAAATATTTCGTAGATATTTTTTCCTAATGAGAATTTAACAAACTGTATTGCCGAATTGGTTACAATGTTAATACAATGCTCATACCAGTATGTGTTAAGCTAAACACAACATATGCGCCTAATGGGAAAAAATGCCACAAAGTATACTATTGTTTATTTAATATATAATAGAGCAAGAGCTGCTGAACACATCACTATACGGGTGCTCCTCGACTTATGATGGTGCAATAACTATTTTGGAGAGGAAACTGAAGATAATTACCTAGCATGAAGGCAGCAAGTCCGTAAATTGTGTTTATTTATTTTTCAATTCCCAATTTAGAGTAATTATTTATTTACTTATTCTGAGACATTAGTTATTTATTTACTTATTTATTTAACCCTTTCAGGGTCCGTCCCGTAGATCTACGGCTTTACGTTCAGGGTCCAAACCGTAGATCTACGCCATGAGCTCAGCTCACTCTGATAAACTGTGAGTGGTACATTTGGGCCTAGATATGAGAGAATACATCTATGTGGTATGTGTGCACCACATAAAACAGATCCTGCAGCACACTGTGTATAATGAGAGAAAAAAAATGAAATCATGATTTTTCGATTAAAACAGCAACTTTGCAGTGTTTTTTCGTATGTTTTTTATAGTTGTATTTGCGATTTCTTGGTCTCATTTGATAGAATGGTAGAGATATTACAGAAATAGAGATGATTTTGATTGGTGTTAGCACTGGAAATGGCTTGAAACTGAGCTCAAAGTAGCAGAAATGTTAACTTTTTGCCGATATTCAAGAGTAAACAAACGACCTCACACGTCTAATACACGTCAGCTGGTGGGTCTAATATACATTCACAAATATGGTGATGATATTTATACAATTATTACAGTATTGCATAACAGTAAATCTTCTATTTTTTGGTGTGAATAAAAATTCATTATGTGAATAAAAAATCAAAATGGAATTTATTTGTAAAGCCTCAAAACATAACTAATGAACAGAGGAAATGTTAGTTTAGTGCCAGGAATGCCTACATTGTTCATTCTGGACCCTATTTTGAAATTGGAATATTTTGAACTTTGTGTTAAATTGGCCACATTAACAATTTCCGATCACTTTATTTTGTAGTTGAAACAGTTGACTTGGCGATTTTTTGTGCTCAATCGATAGAATAGAAGTAATACTAGTGAAATAGCTAAGAATTTGGTTGATTGGAATAATGTAATTGGCCTAAAATGGGAGTCAAAGTCGGCAAAATCGCCGATTCGTAAATATCGCTGACACATCAAAATTCGCGAGAGCATAATTTCGTCAATTTTCCACCAAATTTCGTACTTTTTGTTTTATTACCTTCACAAAAAGATTCTCTACGATTTCATAAGAAAAAATAACATTGTTTTTTTGAAAATTCTTGGACACTGGTGCGTGACTCCAGATTTGGGCCTTGGACCCTGAAAGGGTTAACATACCATACTCATATTCAACTTATAATATTTTTTAATTATGATGGGTCTGTTAAAACGTAACCCCATTGTTAAGTCGAGGATTACCTGTATGTTAATGTCTCAATCAAGATGTAAACATGGTGGCAGTCTATGAACGGTAGAAAATGTTTAAGCACACAAAAACTCTTTCACCCCCCTCCCTGCAACCTTTCCTAGGATGACTCCTATCCACACAACTTGTCATTCACTATAATACATACATACAGCAATCTTAGGAAGTGTTAGTAATTTCTTATACGAGCAAAATAAGCCACGAGATTCATCACATTTTTCTCCCACTTTTCTAGATTAAATATGTCTAGACTGGAGAAACAAAGCTGCCACGCCATTCACACCTTGCAGTAATATGGCTTGGTAATTCATTAACGTGCAAACCACCTTCAGTGAGAACTACCCTTGCAATAACCATGCTGTCATAAGCCATAACATTGCATGTCTGAATGTAAACTCCTTTGTGGTATACAACTGATCCATTTTAGCTAAATGGTCAATAAATCAAGGAAATCTTCTCAACGATGTCACTGTTTTCAACCACAAGCAGCATTAAACAATTATTTAACGCCTCATGTACGTATGCATCCTTGCAGGGAAAAAATATTCAAAAATGACTTGTGAAATTGTAGTGACACAATTACAAACAAACGATATGGTACAGAACTGAACTCGCACCAAGTGAGTCACTTGCAACGAGTTCAATCCCCACCCATACCCTGGTTTTTCCAGCCAAAAATCACAAGGGGTTTTGCCCAGTCAAGTATACAAGTATCTACCTAACAAAAATGATGGGAAGACATTATATGTAGAGCAAACTTTAGTTTACAAAAGTTTCACTCTAAGTAGACCTTTAATAAATCTTTAAATAAAGATTTGATCTGGACATAGTATCTTGTTTTCCATAATTATGGGTAAGTCTTGCCGTTCAGCATTACTCTCATAAGCTATTTATTTTATTTTTTATTACACATCAGCCATTTCCCACCAAGGCAGGGTGACCCAGAAATGAAGAAACCCTTTCATCATCATCCACTTCATCACTGTCTTGCCAGAGGCTTGCCTACACTTAGTTATAAAACTGCAGCTTATCAACACCCCTCCTTCAGAGTGCAGGCACTGTACTTCCCACCTCCAGGATTCAAGTCCAACACGCCAGTTTCCCTGAATCCCTTCATAAATGTTACCTTTCTCACGCTCCAGCAGCACATCAACTCCTAAAAACCACCTTGTCTCCACTCGCTCCTATCTAATACGCTTACGCATGCTTTCTGGAAGTCTAAGCCCCTTGCACAGGAAACCTCCTTTGCCCTTTTCCTCTAACCTTTCCTTGGCCGACCCATACCCTGCCTTCCTTTCACTACAGATTTATGTGCTCTCCAGGTCATTCTATTTCATTCCATCCTCTCTAAATGTCTGAACCACCTCAACAATCCCTCATCAGCCCTCTAGATAAATACTTTTAGTAATCCCACACCTCCTCCTAATTTCCAAACTATGGATTCTCTGCATTATATTCACACCACACATTGTCCTCAGACACAACATCTCCTCTACCTCCAGCCTTCTCCTTGTTGCAATATTCACCACCCATGCTTCACACCAATATAAGAGTGTTGGTATGACTATACTCTCATACACTCCCCTTTTTGCTTCCAAGGATAATGTTCTTTGACTCTAAAGACTCCTCAGAGAAACACTCACCTTTTTCCCTTTATCAATTCTACGATTCACCTCATTTTTCACAGACCCATCTGCTGACACGTCCACTCCCAAATATCTGAACACGTTCACTTCCTCCATACTCTCTCTCTCCCAATCTGATATCCAACCTTTCATTATCTAAATTTTTTGTTATCCTCATTACCTCCTTACTCTTTCCTATGTTCACTTTTAATTTCCTTCTTTTACATACCCTACCAAACTCATCCACTAACCTCTGCAACTTTTCTTCAAAATCTCCCAAAAGCACAGTGTCATTGGCAAAGAAAAACTGTGACAACTCTCACTTCGTGTTTAGATTCTTTATCTTTTAACCCCATGCCTCTTTCCAACACCCGAGCATTCACTTCTCTTACAATTCCATCTATGAATACATTGAACAACCATGGTGATATCACACATTCCTGTCTAAGGTCTACTTTTACTGGAAAATAATCTCCCTCTCTCCTACAAACTCTAACCTGAGCCTCACTATCCTCGTGAAAACTCTACATTGCTTTCAGTAGCCTTCCTCCCATACAATTGCAACATGTGCCACATTGCCGCCCTATCCACCCTATCATACGCCTTTTCCAAATCCATAAATGCCACAAAAACTACTTTACCTTTATCCAAATACTGTTCACCTACACATTTCAGTGTGAAGTTTTAAACATATAATATACGGTATTGTACAAGTTTGGCAAAGCGATTTCTTAGTGTCCTAGTCAAACTTTCCAATAGAAATATATCCACAGCAAAACCCAAGCCAAAATGTGTGCCAACAACAAGGAATGTGAGTTCACCACTACCATACCTGTTTTATCATGCATGCTAGGAAAGTTCATTCCCATTAAATACTCTTTAAGACACCAAAAATACCTATATCTACCCATACATTCCTTTGAAAAGTAGTATAATTATCATTATATATTACGACTAGTGCAACTTCAGGCCGTATTAATTACAAATTATGCATGAAAAAAATTAGCAAGTGTGTGCCAAGAACATTGAACTTGTTTGCAATAAAGCCAAACTACTTGTTCATTCCCTCCACCAGGAAGCAATCCTCTAAAAATAATACAAAAAAACATCAGTCTTCTCCACATAATGTATATGCAAGAAAAAAGACGAGTCTGAACAATAATAGGCTGACATAGACCTGTGATTCTTCCTTAATATGCTGCTTTTTCTTTATCTTGTAGGAGCGCAGGAATTCGGAGCGTCGTTCCCTGGATATAGTGGGGTCATCGATGGGCTTGGCCTATACCGCAGCAGCAGCAGCAGCAGCAGCAGCAGAGAGGGGAGGGGGCACAAGAGGGTGGGAGGAGAGGGCAAAAGAATGGCTGTTAGTGGCCATTACCCGTAGATGCTGCCTCCTAGCTTCACTTACAAAGATAATCTTAACACACTTCATGTAACATATATCACAAAATTATCAAATTTTTTTATTTCTCTGGATAACTGGTAGGAAAAGCTGAACACACAATTACATTTTAAAGAAAAAAAATATTAAAGTACCAACTTTTATAATAATAAATCGTACCTGAAAGCCTAAAGCGTTAAATAAATCAATACATTCTTTATACAATCCAGTTAACAACTATATATATGAAGCCTAAAATGAAATATCCTCTAAAATATGAGACTGCATATTTATTCTGCAGCATTATCACAATATACATATGTAATATTTACCAATAAATATTGAAACATTAAATCATGAATTTATAATACAACTCCCATACTGTTGTTGTTCATTAATTACATCCATGCAATATTCTATCTTAGAAAGGGGACAAACGTACACATACATCAGTAGGTATCCTTACATCAAGTCAATACTGTACAGTACTGCATTCTCTCGCCATTGTTATGCTCACACAATGGACTCATTGAAGTATCTTCAGAACATGAAGACACCCAATCATTCAGACTATTAGTTGCACTGAATTATCAGAAACTAGTAATACAATAATATAATTTAAAAAAATAGCAACAGCCGCACCGCAGTGTTCATGTATGAGCTGATGGACGCACTTTTATGTATTTCCTTGAAACATAAGTCTCAAACTTTTATCCCACTTACTGCCCTTTTCAATTATGACCGACATCTATTTCATAGTTACTTTCATCCTATCTACTAAATGTAGCATTCTGCTTGCATACATCTGGTGCTAACGTGTGTGTGTGCTTTATTGGCTATGCTTCTTATTGTATGGGGTTTCATTTTACATCTTTGTTGGCAACTTTGTCAAAATCCTTAATCATTACAACAAATTATTATAAGCCACTGTTTAATATCCCAGGTTCATCTCATAGATCTGTAAAGATTAAACTAAACTTTTCAGCTTACACTGCAAACGAGCTGCCACACTGTTTTCAGCTCTTGAAAGAGACAAGACTCCAGCCGTTTTTCTAGTCTCTCTCTAGTGAAAAGATATAGAAAAAGCAAAGAGAAACCACACTAATTATTCACACTTTCCCAAGTTTGGTTCATCATGAAGATGGTGGAGGAATCCTGGATTAAATTACTGTTCTACTGGTCACTGAATAAACATGTTCACCACACTGCAATGAATGACAAGGTATGACACTTATGATTCCTACCGCTTCCACATTGTTATAGTCAAAGAACACAAGTGTCAAATTTATGCTTTTATGCAACACTCAGTGACAAAATTTACTCCCATCAAACAATTTGCTAACTATACACTATATATATATTTATAACATGTCTGTCATTTCCCACCAAGGCAGGGTGACCCGAAAAGGAAGAAACACTATCATCTTTATTCACTCCGTCACTGTCTTGCCAGAGGAATGCCTACACTACTGTTAAAAACTGCAACATCAACACCCCTCCTTCAGAGCGCAGGCACTGTACTTCCCACCTCCAGAATTTAAGCCCGGCTTGCTGGTTTCCCCAAATCCCTTCATAAATGTTACCTAGCTCACACTCACACTCACGCTCACACAGCAAGTCAACTCATAAAAACCATTTGTCTCTACTCGCTCCTGACATGCTCATGCAGGTTTGCTGGAAGTCCAAGCCCCCTCACACACAAAAACCTCCTTTATCCCTTCCCTCCAACCTTTCCTAGGATGATGCTTACCCCGCCTTCCTTCCCCTAAAGATTTATACACTCTCCAAGTCATTCTATTTCATTCCATCCTCTCTAAATGTCCGAACCATCTCAACAGCCCCTCCTCAGCTTGCTGGATAATACTTTTAAAAACCCCGCACCTCCTCCAAATTTCCAAACTACAGACTCTCAGCATTATATTCACGCTGCACATTAGCTTCAGACACATCATCTCCACTGCCTCCAGCCTTCCCTTTGTTGCAACATTCCCCACCCATGCTTCAATCATATAAGACAGTCTGTATAACTACATACTCTCACACATTCCCCTCTTTGCTTCCATAGATAACGTTCCTTGTCTCCAAAAGACTCCTCAGAGCTCCACTCACCTTCCCCCCCCCCCCCCATCAATTCTTTGATTCACCTCATTTTTCACTGACCCATCTGCTGACAAGTTCCCTCCCAATATCTAAATACATTCACTTTTTCAATACTCCCTTCCTTCAATCTGATAGCCAATCTTTCATTACTTTTTTTTTTATCCTCATCACCTTATTCTTTTCTATGCTCATGTTTAATTTCTTCTTTTACATACTCTTCCAAACTCATCCATTAACCTCTGCAACTTCTCTTCAGAATCTCCCAAGAGCACAGTGTCATCAGCAAAGAGCAACTGTGACAACTCCCATTTTGTGTTAGATTCTTTATCTTATAAACCCACACCTCTTGCCAACACCCAAGCATTCACTTCTTTTACAACCCCATCAATAAATATACTTAACCACCATGGTGACATTACACATCTCTAAGGCCTATTTCTACTGGGAAATAATCTCCCTTCCTCCTACATATTCTAACCTGAGCCTCACTATCCTCAGAAAAACTCTTCACTGCTTTTAGTAACCTACTTCCTATTCCAAATGAGCACTTTGCGGTCAAACACAGGGAAAATCACAGTAGAGGTAAAGGAAGGAATAAGAGGAAAGGACCAGGTCGGGGAGGCCACTCTTCATCTTACCGAGATCATACAACAGTGCAATGTACATGGTGCCTGGACCCACCACTCAGCATCCACGATTCTTCAATAAAAGATGCTAACCATCCTCAGGCTTCTCCTTTACCGTCCTCACCCAACATCTGACCTCTCTATCAAGCTTGACTTCACGGTACTCATTTGCCTTATACAAGTCTTTTTTTTTGTTTGTTTTTGTATATACGAACAAGTGCAGCCCAGGATAAAGCACTATAATAGTAATACAGATGGTGCCTGCACACAGCAACAAGTGTTCTGAGGGACTGAGGTTATCAGTCCCTCAGCTCATTAATCAAGTGTTACATACCTTAATTTAACATGTCGGTTCTCTGAACCAGTTATCTACAAACATGGTTGTGGATTGAGACACTTATGCAACATATGGGAATCTTTATTCAGGAAACGTTTCGCCACACAGTGGCTTCATCAGTCCGATACAAAGTAGAAAGGCGTAAGGAGAGGAGGAGTTTGAGGTAATCAGTCCCTCAGCCTGGAGTCGATGTGTTCAGTCCATCAATCTTGTAGAATTGATGGACTGAAGATTGATGAACTGAACACATCGACTCCAGGCTGAGGGACTGATTACCTCAAACTCCTCCTCTCCTTACGCCTTTCTACTTTGTATCGGACTGATGAAGCCACTGTGTGGCGAAACGTTTCCTGAATAAAGATTCCCATATGTTGCATAAGTGTCTTAATCTTCAACTTGTCGGTTTTTCAAACCATTCATCACAAACATGGTTGTGTTGGCAGGGGTCACGCCACTGTTCCTAGATCCTTCCCAGTCAATGAAATCAGTCTTAAGCTAATCTGCAATTACTTTATTAATACGTCTGTGAAGCAATGCTATATCCACGGTTTTTAAGCATGTGTAGGATTAGTCTGCCTGAAATGCCCAGCATGATAGTGACTTTCTTTGTACTTTGCAAACCAAAATTGTAATTACACATTGTAACCTTTACAAAGAAATAAACCTTTAGTTTATGTCTGTGTAGACACTTTCTCCTACAGTTATTAAAGTGCATCATTTTTTTTTTATTTTCTTATGAATGTGGACTCAAAATCTACATATGGATTTCTCCCCAGTACTCTAAAATACAGTGGACCCTGGAGTTTCGGCAGCCTTGACTTTTGTGAAATTCGACCTTCGACAAGTTTTTTTTTTTTTTTTTTTTTTGGAAAACTTTGGCCTCGAGTTTCGTGAAAAAAACTTGTGTTTCGGCGACCGTCCAGTACCTGTCCGCCCATCGCCACACACACAAAGCAAGTCTCCCACGCCATTCACGCTCAGTGTGCCATTGTTTACCAACACGTGACAATCACCCCGCGGGTTCATACGTAATAATCCATTGTTTTTTGTGATTACAACTGCCAAGTAAGGCACCATGAGCCCAAGGAAAGCTAGTGCAAGCCCCTTGGTAAAGAAAGTGAGGAACACGATCGAATTCAAGAAGGAAATCATTGAAAAATATGAGAGTGGAGTGCGTGTTACAGAGCTTGCCAGGATGTATGGCAAGCCCCATTCAACCATCACTTCGATCGTGGCGAAAGGAAAGGAAATAAAAGTGTGCTGTTGTTGCAAAAGGGGTGGACATGCTGACAAAAAGGAGATCACAAATCCTCGAAGAAGTGGAGGTTATTGTTGGTCTGGATTACCAAAAAACAGTTAGCAGGAGATAGTGTTACGCAGTCGATATGTGAAAAGGCATGACGATCTCGTAAAGAACATGCCTGCAACAAGTGATGCTCGTGATTTTAAGGCCAGCAAAGGTTGGTTTGAGAGATTTAAGAAGCATAGTAGCATTCACAGTGTGATAAGGCATGGTGAGGCTGCCAGTTCTGACAAAAAAGCAGCTGAGAAGTTTGTACAGGAGTTTAAGGAGTGCGTAGACACTGGAGAATTCAAACCCCAGCAAGTTTTTAATTGTGACGAAACAGGCCTCTTCTGGAAGAAAATGCCAAAGAGGACCTACATCACGCAGGAGGAAGCGGCACTCCCAGGACACAAGCCTATGAAAGACAGGCTTACTCTCATGTTTTGTAGTAATGCTAGTGGGGATTTTAAAGTGAAGCCTTTACTGGTGTATCACTCTGAAAATCCCAGAGTGTTCAAGAAATACAGTGTCGCCAAGAGTAACTTGTGTT